CCCTCAATGTGTTTGAGCTTCTGTAGCTATGAGACCCAAGTTGTCCTTGACAGAGCCGTCATTATGAAGGGTAGATCTGAACTCATAGAGCATGCAAACAGATGAAGAAACCAAGAGAGCCGGAAAGAAAAAAGGTAAATATTTAGTGTGAAACGAAATTGAAAGCTGGCTAGGAATGGACTCATTGACAAGCGATGGATGTATACAATTCCCACACTTTTCTTCTTCCTGTGAAGTTAATGTTTGCTACATATTTAGGGGAATTGTAAGTGAAAAGCTCTCTACTGAGTCACAGAATTATCATTTTTTATTTTTAAAATCAAGGTTATGTCTAATTTGGGGAAGATTATAATGTATCTGCTAATGTGCAGTGTAAACTGTACTGGTACCATTCTCACTTAAATGGTTATTTTTTCAAAAGAGATCTTACTAGTATTTTAAAGACTGAGTATACAATGCCTTGAAACTTTCCCATGATGTAATTAGATGTTCACTGTCTTAAGTATCTAATCTTAAGTTTATACATAATAAGGAATACTGCAATTTTTGCATTAGTCATTATAATAAGCTATGTCTTTAGTTGTTTCATCTTTCAATTGTCTAAACTGAATTTCTGAATCAAACTAAATTAACCAAAACAAACTCCCTCTATTTTACGATCTCAGTATTGAATTGAGAATATGATGAGCTATGTCATTTTCTTTTAGGCATAGGAAACATTACTTGTTCCTTATATTGAGGCATAATTTTCATTCAAAATGAGTACTCCTGTTTAGAGCACAGGAAGACAGTTGTTTTAAAGGCACTTAGTTGACTTTTCACTGCTAGTATCCAATGAGATTTACTAAGCATTTACTCTGCATGGCAAACTTCTGGTTGCTACATGAGGAAAGGCATTCAGAATTGTCTGGAAATAGCATTTTGAATTTAGTTCTCATATATTTTGGAATGTGACTGATTTCTACTTTCTGTCTTTTGAAGTAAGTGCTTCCAGATAAACAGTTAACTTAGTGCCATGGCAACATATTGATTGATTGGCGTTCTTTGTTAGCTAGAATTTCTTTGGGGACTATATTTAGTACAGAAGAGAAAGGGAAAAATAGCAAGCCAAATAAAAAGCCAATATCATCTATCTTTCTTTAATTTCCAGGGAAAGATCAAGGCCACATAGACTTAGCTGAATGTGTTATATTTCCTGCATCAGGGTGACTGATTCCAGCCCCCTCCACAAGAGAGATTACAATATCCTATGTCAAAGAAAGATTTTGTTATTTCAACAATTGATTTTCAGAGTTAACGAGTGTGTCACTGAAGGTGAATAGTTTGGGATTTTCACTGCAAAGGAGATGTTACCAGTCAGGGACTCCAGCAGGAAACAGCTGACACAGTCAAACTGGTAACCTTGCCTACTTTCAAAGGTATGTGTAGGGTTTAGGGAAATTAGGAAAGATCATTGATGGCCCCTGCCCATTGACAGTGGAGGGTTGGGGGAATAAGTCTACCATCCCTAAGCCTAAAGAATTAAGGGAAGGAGCAGTTAAACAAAGAGATTGTGCCTGCCTTTCCCAAATCTCACAGGAAGCCACAGCAATCCACAGGATCAGCTTCCTGAGGTTTAGAGCAGGGAAGAGAAAGGGACAGAGTGGACCTGGAGAGAAAAATAGAAGAACTGGAGCCCAAGACAAGAGAACATGAAAAGTCAGTAAAATCAATCATGATTAGACTGTAGCAAACCAAGTTTGATTGCAGCTCTGGGTCTTGACTGGAGGAAGAAAGAAAGCTCACATTTATTGAGTTTTCTTTCAGTTACTCCTGGCATATAACAAACCACCCTAAATTTAGTGCAGTAAAACATCCAGCCCTTTATTACACCACAGATTCTATGGGTCAGAAATTTAGACAGGACACGCCGGGTATGCTGTGCCTCTCTTGCACTATGTTTGGCAGCCTGGCAAGAAAGACTCAAATGCTTGGGGGTGAAACCATCTGAATGCTCTTTTATATTCATGTGACTGGCACCTGAGCCGGGTGATCCAGGGGCTGGGTTCATCTGGGACTGACTGTCGACTCAAGCACCTACATGTGGCCTTTCCAAGGGCACTGAGTTTCCCCATTATGGTAGCTGGAGTGTCCCAACAGCAGGACAGATGCTGCAGAAGAAGTTGCTCAGACTTTTCGAATCTGGCTTCTGAAGTCACACAGCATCACTTCTGCATTTAGTTCAAGGCCAGAGGAATTAGACTGTGTGTCTCAGCCAGGGATGAGAAGGTCATGTTGTAAAGGGCATGCTGAATGGGAGAATATTGTTGCAGCCATCTTTGGAAAATATGAGCTGCCATATGCACACTCACGAAGGCAATATGAACTAATTTCATTTTGAAACACTCTGACAGTAGTTGCAACAAACCATTTCTTAGGTTAACCATAAAATTACATTAACCAGATCCTTTCGTTATCCAAAGTTTCCAATAATTAAACTTTGTCTTCCCTTTATGGATTATTGCTTTGAAAATGTAAAAGATACTTCCAGGATCAACTAGCTGAGCTTCCTGCCCTCCAACGGCATGAATATCACTGTTCTCATTTTCCCACAGACTTGGTCCAGTGATGTGTAGAAGGGAAAGTAGGGACTAGAACTCAGGACCCTTGGATTCAATTTATTTTCTTTTTATATATATATATTTAACTAGAAATAGGTAAGATATGAATTGATAAATTAAATTCTACCAAATAAACACACAAGCTTCAGACTTGAGAAAGAAGCACTTGGCCAGGTATGACTATCCTGTAACATCAGGGAAGTCTGCCTACAGGGTTGGGGCCCTCACTGGAAGACTGAGCTTGGCTTGGTAGCTGGCCTATACAAGGGCTGTCATATAAATAAGAATGCAGTCGCCAAGACAATAGAAGAGTAATGGTCACCAGAGCCATGAATGTCAGTGGAGAAACTGACACGTAGTTATCCCTTTTCCCTTCTGCCCTTGATGATGTCTGCCTGGTCTTTCCATTTGTCTTCCAGCTGGTGCAGTGGATTGACCTGTGCAATATTATTAATTTTCCGAAGGGGATTTTATATAAGGTTGTGTGCCCTTCTGGAGACAGGAACACTAACCACACTTATCTTTGCTATTCATGCACAGATATGAAGGTTCTGGGAATGTTTCCAACCTGTTAGAGTCACCCAACCATCCTTTTTATATTTTAACATCAAGAATTTGCCAAACCACCCGAGCTTTAATGAAACTTCTAAACAGCTAAACTTTTTTGTTTCCCCACTCTCCAACAGATGTATGTCAGCTTCTCTGGTGTCAACGATTCCAGTCTCTATTCCAGAATTTTCTCAGAAAAAAAAAAAAAAAGATTGATTCTTTTGTAAGGGATATACTTACTGTTTTGCAACTCCCTCTGACCCTTTCCTAAATGACAAGATGCCATCTGGCACTGGGGGATTTGGCTGAAGCGAGTCCATGCTGAGGCAGTGGGATGTGGTGGGTGTTAGGACGGCAGGTTCCAGGTCAGTCCTGCCGGCTGTGTGGCTGCGGGAATGCCCTTTGGTGTCCTTGGCTGTAAAGTGAGGAGGTGACCAGCTCATTGGCTTACTCAGGACCTTTCCAATTCTAGAGTTCTGCACACACCAATGAGTCCACGGAAGGTCTGGACATCCTGAGAACTCACGGTGTCAGCCTTTTACAAACAGATTGCTCTGCCTTTCAGGGGTCTTAGACTTTAGTGTTCTCACCCAGTATTTCACATGTCACATTGAAGCTCTAGCCTTTTCAAGGGAGCTGCTAACTCGTTTCTTCACGGCCCTTTCACGTCAATCCATGACAGTCTGGCCACTCCTCTACATTCCCTTGCTAATGATGTCCTAGTTAGCAAAGCCAGTGGTCCTTTCCCTTTTTCAACCTATGTGACTTCACTGTGCCTCAGTTTCTTCACCTGTCAGATAACAATAATGGTGGTGCCGATCTCATTGAGTTGTTGAGAGGTTTGGGTTATTATACATCATCATAGGTAACAGGAAATACATTACTGATATAAATACATGTAGTTTAGAACAGTGCCTGGGACAAGGCTTCATTTGTCTATAGACCCTGTGTGAGTCCCTTACTTATATTAACTACCTGGTCTCTGAAAGCAGCAGGATTATTAATCCTTGCTATCAAATCCCTGTGTTTAAAAAATGCAACATCTCAAACTTCACAACATTATTTTAAATTGTATTTCAGTTTTTCAGTGTTTACTCACCTCAACTAATATAAAGATATCTATCTTCTCTATTCCTTAATTAAGCTGATAAGGTAACAATTGCCTCATAATGCCTGGTGATGATATCTACTTTCATTATTATTATTATTATTATTATTATTTTGGAGACCGAGTCTCGCTCTGTCACCCAGGCTAGAGTGCAGTGGCACAATCTCAGCTCACTGCAAACTTCCCCTCCTGGGTTCAATCCTTTCTCCTGCCTCAGCTTCCCAAGTAGCTGGGATGACAGAAGTCCACCACCACGCCTAGCTAATTTTTGCATTTTTAGTAGAGATGAGGTTTCACCATATTGGCAAGGCTGATCTTGAACTCCTGACCTCAAGTGATCCACCTGCCTTCACCTCCCGAAGTGCAGGGATTACAGTGTGAGCCACCATGCCTGGTCTACTTACATTATTTAAATCTAATTTTATTTTCCATCTGGGGTGTGTGTGTTGGTCTTATCTCCACAGCTGGACAGAAATCTATGAAACAGACTTACCTCCTACCTCTATGGCCTGCAGTTCTTCCTAGGCAAGCTCTCCTCCTCCCCTTGCCAGCTACATCATGAGGGTGAATTATAAGAGGTCCCCATTCTTCATCCCTCCTTTAAAAACCAAGTAACTTTTGAACAACTTTTCCATCAGCCATCAGCATGATTGTTTGACTTGATCAGGCACCTCACCTGACCTCATCCATGAGCATGTGGGCTCAGGATATAATACATGTGAGTCTTTCTGTCCGACCGCCAGGTATCCGCCGCCAGACTGCCCATTGCGTGAAGAAGGGCCGCGGGATGGTGAAAGCTACATTCTGTGACCCAGAAACACAGCCCAATGGGAGACAGAAGAAGTGCCATGAAAAGGCTTGTCCACCCAGGTAACCATCACAAACAGCTGAGCTCTGTGTGTCTGTCTACAGTGATGTCTGACTCAGGAGTAACCCAGTGCTTGCTGATAAAGAAATACTGTGTGGCTTTGTTATTTGGATAAATACAAGAATGCCGTTAAGAGGTTTCTGTGGCTATACTGTTGGAGCCTCTGGCAAGCTCTGAGGACATAGTCTCCCAAGAGCAGTATTTTCACAAGGTGATGTGTTCTGTGTTTAATTATTTGGCAAGACTATGCCCCAAAGCACTGGTGAAGAGAATGCTAAGAAGATCGATCACCCAAAAGTTGTTTCACTAATAGGGTTGTCTTTTCCAAGGCTTTACCAGTGCAACTGCAGTCTTCAGACAAAATGTTGGCCCCTTTGGATCACAGTGCCCACTTGTACTTCAGGCTGCCTGGAAGGGGGTCTCAGAGAGCAGGTTTTCCCGACTTCGACATTACCTGCTTGTGTGGCTGGCTGATTCTTCATTGCTGGGAGCTGCCCTGTGGATTGTAGGATGCTTAGCAGTATTGCTGGCCTGTGTTTATTAGATGCCGGTAGAACTCCCTCCCTCCCTATCCAGGCTATGACAACTAAAAATGTCTGCAGACACTGACAGATGTCACTGTGGGGCAAAATCATCCTCAGTTGACAGCCACTGTTGTAGAGATACTCAGCAAGATTCAGGATATTGCTAACCACACTGGTTCAAGAGATTGGAGTCATAGAAGGTAGTTGGGATGTAATTATGACAGGCTTATGTGTAAAAAAGAAAGAGATAAAAAGGAAAGAAAAAAGGAGGAGAAGAAAGAGGAGGGAAGGACATAAGAAGAGGGAGGGAAAGAGGGAGAGGAGGGAGGAAGAAAGGAAGGAATATTGGTTGATTTCCAGAAAGTGTCTTCATTCTCTGGCGACCTTAAACAGGGATGCATTTATGCTGCAGAGTCCACCAAGCGTGCATCCCAGTTCTAAGCAGACACACTATGAGGCATTTAAACAAGGGAAAGATTCGTTGATATCACAAATCAAACAGGTAACAGGGTGGATTCTAAAGAAGAGCTACAATGTGATAAATATCCAAGAAGTAGGTTAGAAAGCAGAGTCAGGACAAGCCAGGTGAAAACAGAGCTGTCACTCTCTTAACAGTCCAAACAGGCAGGACCCAGAGGCCAGGATATTCTCATCTCAGAGAGCGAGGTTTATTTTCTCTTCTGTTCTGTGCCTTTTTCTGGGTAGAAGCTGGACCCCACCGCTATTGAAGGAGGACAGAAATGTTTCATTGCCTCACTTTGCTGTAGCTCCTTCCTATGGCTCTTTTGCCAGGAAGAACTAGAAATGACAAGGGAAGGTTAGGCTAGCACTAGGTTTTATATAAAATTGCAGTTATATTACCTTCTCAGGGAAGAATGAGCCAGGAAAGAGAGACTTTCTTAGAGCTAGTCCATCACCTACTACTCCACAGAGCTCATGAATTGAGAGATTTTTTACTTCTGGGAATGTTAATCAAGCATGATCTAATACATACAGGTACAATTTCTGAAAATGCACTCTCAAGCAGGGTGTGATAAACTAAGTAGAATTCCATGAAACGCTCAGATATAATGGTTGGATTAGTTCATTTTCATGCTGCTGATAAAGACATACCTGAGACTGGATAATTTACAAAGAAAAAGAGGTTTAATGGACTCATAGTTCTATGTGGCTGGGGAAGCCTCACAGTCATGGCAGAAGGTGAAAGGCATGTCTTACATGACTACAGACAAGAGAGAATGAGAGCCAAGTGGAGGGGGTGTGGCCTTATAAAACCATCAAATCTCGGGAGACTTATGGGGGAAACTGCCTCTGGGATTCAATTATCTCCCACCGGGCCCCTCCCCCAATATGTGGGAATTATGGGAGCTACAATTCAAGATGAGATTTGGGTAGAGACGCAGCCAAACTGTATCAATGGCCACTTTACCATAGTCCGTCTTATTTATGACTGCATTTCAGCCTCTACAAATATTTATGAAATTGTCATAAGACAGGGCATAGATATTACTCTGAGGTGGTATATGAGGAGATTAAGGCTCAGAGAAATTTGATGCCATACCCTAGGGGAAAGGGCTGCAGAGAAAACTAGCACTCTTTAAAAAAAATTTTACTTTAAGTTCTGGGATACATGTGCAGAACGTGCAGGTTTGTTACATAGGTATACACGTGCCATGGTGGTTTGCTGCACCTATCAACCCATCATCTAGGTTTTAAACCCCACATGCATTAGGTATTTGTCCTAATGCTCTCCCTCCCCTTGCCCCCACCCCGACAGGCCCCAGTGTGCGATGTTCCCCTCCCTGTGTCCATGTGTTCTCATTGTTCATCTCCCATTTATGAGTGAGAAAATTCGGTGTTTGGTTTTCTGTTCCTGTGTTAAAAACTAGCACTTTTAAAGAACTCACTATTTTCCAAGCTCTTTCCATATAAACATATCACTTAATCCTGTAAGCACCCTAAATTTATGTTCATTATATAAATGAAGACTCCAAATCCTTCACAAAAATTTCCCTAGGTCACTTAGCTACAAATTGTAGAGGTGGGATTTGAACCCAGATTTGTCCGCTGTGCTTCCTCTGCATGTGCTGCTACACCATGCTGCTGCCCAGATCTGACGATATGCAGGTTTCAGTGCTAGAACCAGAATTCCCTACATTTAAATTATTTCTCCCATGTTAAAACACAATACAAATGTTATGAATGTGCAGAAAAATCTGACTCCAAAATTAAGTCATGTATGCAAATTTTTAAAAGGATTAAAGGAAAAGAAATTAAGTTGATTTGCTTTTATTTTTTTGAGACAGAGTCTTGCTCTGTCACCCAGGCTGAAGTACAGTGGCACGATCTCAGGTCACTGCAACTTCTGCCTCCCAGGTTCAAGCAATTTTCTCCTGCCTCAGCCTCCTGAGTAGCCGGGATTACAGGCAAACCCCATCACACTGGACCAATTTTTGTGTTTTTAGTAGAGATGGGGTTTTACCATGTTGGCCAGGCTGATCTCAAACTCCTGAACTCAAGTGATTCACTGCCCCAGCCTTCCAAAGTGCTGAGATTACGGGCATGAGCCCATAAGGATGGCGATTTGCTTTTTTAAGAATAAATAAATAATAAACTAATACTATTTGTTTTTGCAAACTTAGTTCAGTAGTTTCCTTGCATATGAATTTCAAATTGCAATATCTTCTCTGTCACCTTATTTCCATGATCTCTGAAAAGTTCACACCCATCATTGAGATCTGTCATTTCCTTTCCCAAAAAATTTCCTATGCAAAGTTTAATCTTATTTATTTCTGGGTCATTTTGCTTCAGTAATATCTTGTTTTTACAACCAATTTCGACATTCTGCATTCTTCCCCAAGGGAGTATTCAGACAGATTTTTTTTTAAGATTTAATAAAAGCTTTTTCTAAACATAAAAAATATGTATTGGATAGCCAATGGCTTTCAGGATGAAAGCCTTGTAGAGCATGTTCCAGGAAAGAGTGGGCTGTCAAGAAAGAAATTCTTTGAAATTTTAGTATATCTGACTCCAGAAAGAGGTTATTTGAGTCTCTTCTCCCTACTGACTTCTCTCTGAACTTTGGTTTTCAGCAAAGCAAAGCTCGGCTAGGCCACAGCTGTGATGGGGCCTAGCATTTCCAAAGTGCTCAGCAAACCTCTGACAGTGACTTTTTGAAACTCTCGCAGCTGCATGTAGGTATCAGTCCAAAAATAATGACATATGATTTAAATCACGGTTTCTCAACCTCAGCGCTATTGCTGCTTTGGGCTGGATAGTTTTTTGTTGTTGTGGGAAGCTGTCTCGTGCAATGTCAGAGGTTTAGCAGTATCCCTGGACTCTATCCACTAGATGCCAATAGCAACCCACCCCCACTTCCTTGTCACCACTGATTCGTGACAATGAAAAATGTCTTCATAGTTTCCCAAATGTCCCCTGGGGAGGGAGGCTGTGGAAATCTCTGCTGATTGAGATCTTCTGATTTAAATGAAAGGAATGAGATCATCGAGACTGGGAAAAGCCCATGAAAGAGGGAAAGGGACTGAGTGTGGTGTGTGTAGGGGACAAGAAAGCTGGAGAAAATGAGGCTGGAGGAATGGGATATAATGGGAATGTGGAGACAATGTGTACACAAGGCCAGGAGGTAAGGGTGCTTGCACTGTAGTCATGGTTTTGTCAGAATTTGAAATGGTCAGTTGAATTGAATTTTGGAATGCAAATTCTATTAGGAAAAACATTAGCACAAAGAAAGATGATCATTATAAAAATTGATTTTTTTAAGGAAATTACTATTCTTTGCAAGAGTAACAAATTCAGATTTGGACTTTCAGTTATCTGAGTAATGAAGGTTAAAAAGAGTGAGGTGTCCTGGTTCATTGGCGATCAGAGCTGTTGGAGCAGGTACTGATAGGGGAATCAGTAGAAGGTACTGATAAAAGAGGGGTTCTTTTAAAGATAAAAGAGAGGTTCAGGGAGTCTCTAACACACCCCTTCTACTTGATCTCAGAGAAGACTCGTATCCAAACTACAGTAAACTTTTCCAGAATTCCAGAACAACTACAGGCTCTCCAAGAATCTGAAACATAGGCACACACAGGCACACACACACACACACACACACACACAGGCACACACACACACACACACACACACACAGGCACACACACACACACACACACACAGACACACACACAGACACACACACACACACTGAGAACAGTCATTGAGATAAACATAAAATTTCCCATAAATATAAAAGGAGTATTCTATTAGAAATCTCCTACAAGAGGTGCGATTATGGCAAACACCTGAAAGAATGAGATGGACAGCAGAGAACAACTTGACCATGGCTCCTGAGCCCTGGGCCTGGAAGACCTTTACAGAAAAAAAAAAAAAAAAAAAAAAAAAAAAAAAGATGATTTTCACTTTAATCTTGTGAGACTAAGACTTAGCTGAGTCCATTTTGTGTTGCTAAAACAGAATACCACAGACTGGGTAATTTATACAGAACTTTATTTCTTGGTCAACTATGGTGACTCACTCTGTAATCCCAGCACTTTGGGAGGCCAAGGCAGAAGGATCACTTGAGCACAGGAGTTCGAGACTAGCCTAGGCAACATAGCAATACCCTTTCTCTATAAAAATAAAAATAAAAGGCCGGGCGCGGTGGCTCAAGCCTGTAATCCCAGCACTTTGGGAGGCCGAGGCGGGTGGATCACGAGGTCGAAAGATCGAGACCATCCTGGTCAACATGGTGAAACCCCGTCTCTACTAAAAATACAAAAAATTAGCTGGGCATGGTGGCACGTGCCTGTAATCCCAGCTACTTAGGAGGCTGAGGCAGGAGAATTGCCTGAGCCCAGGAGGCGGAGGTTGCGGTGAGCCGAGATCGCGCCATTGCACTCCAGCCTGGGTAACAAGAGCGAAACTCCGTCTCAAAAAAAAATAATAAAATAAAATAAAATAAAAATAAAAAATAAATTTCTTTTAAAAAGAAACATTTCTCACAGTTCTGGAGGTTGGAAGGCCAAGATCAAGGTACCAGCATTTGATCTGGCGAGGGCCTTCTTGCTGCACCCTCATAAGGCTGAAAGAGGAAGGGCAACAGAGGACAAGCATCCATGACCTCGAGAAGAGTGAATGGGTAAACCACCCCCCAAATCCTTTTGCAAGCGGCCTTAATCCATTCATGATGGCAAAGCCCTCACTACCTAAACACCTCCCATCGGAGCCCACCTCCCAACACCATTATATCCGGGATTCAGTTTCTAACACATTATGTTTTTGGGAACACATTTAGACCATAGAAAAGCACAGGCAATATGTCTCCCAAAGGACTGTAGAGAAAACTCCAGGAAGAGAAAACAAGAAGGTCCATTATCACTGTGTGGTGATATAGCTGAAAGCCCTGTAGCAAGTACTTAGGTAAATTAGGCTTTCAGTCAACTCAGACTAAGGGCTACAGAATGGCATTTCATATATTCCCTTGGCCTGGCCTCCTTTAGAAAAGTCAGAGGTAGAACAAAGTAATTAGATTAATACGGTTGGGCACTTACTTGGTTTCACATCATACTGTTCCAATGTTATTAGCTCTTTAGCCACTGATGTTAAACACCAAACAATTAGTAAGTGATCTCAATTACTTATTAACTGAAGAATATAGTAGGATTGAGGAATTGCTTTCTTCTGATATTTTTAACGAGATTAAAAGTGTGACAATCAAAAGAAATTCTACATAAATAAATTCAATATTTAGTAAATAAAAATAAAAGTAAAAAGTTTTATCTTCTTCAAAATTACCAAAACGGAATGCTATCTCAAGTTAGGAGGCTTTCTTAAAGTCAGGAATGAAGGACTTCGCCCAGTGTACTATTTTCCCATGACAAATCGAAGTGTTCCACTTATTACTATATGAAGGGATGAACAAGCGGACTGTATGTAGAACAATAATGGACCCAAACCACACTGGGTGAAGACACTTGTTCTGTCTTCTGTATTGGGGAAAATTTGCACAACAATGGAGAAGAGAGACAAGAGATGGCTTCCTGCCATTTTCAAAAACGACTTTTATGTAACAAGTGGGCCCATCCATATCCCAGATTCTTGAGTAAAAAAATGATTTAATTTTATTCTTTTTCTACTCATTTCTTATCAAAGGGATCAGTAAAAATATTAACAATTAGACTGCAGGAGATTAAAAAATAAATAAATAAAGACCATGTCCCCAGTTGGTTGCCTCCTACATAATTAAAAAATTTGTATTTAAGTACCTACTTTACATTCAGTTAAGAGCCAGGAGACCTAGAGTCTAATCGGACTCTTACTCAATAGCGTGGTCAAAATAACAATAAATCGTAACAAATGCTTGAGTTCTTGTTATGTGTCAGGCTCTGTACTATGCACTTTACATGAATTAGTCTTTCATTTAATGCACAACACAACACTCATACAAAGAAAAAATATTTTTACACCCATTGAATAGATGAGAAAGTGAAGCTTGAGCCTGCTTAAAGTTGCACAGAAGAACCCTGGACCTCAGTTTTCTTACTGAACAGACAGGGCATGCATATCTATTTTTTTCTCATTCAAAAACATGCTTATTTAGCAACTGCTTATGCCATGTGTTCTGCTGAGCCTCTGGAGCTGTGATAGAAGACACCGTGGCCCTGTCTGCAGCACGCCCCCTAGTGGATTGCAGGGTCTCCATGCCGCCCCCAGCCCTGTGGTCTGCATTTCCGCCCCTGCTTTCTCAATGGCTGAATGGAATGTATGTGTAAGTCGGTGATCTTCTCTCACTTGTCCATGTCTGCCTGCAGGTGGTGGGCAGGGGAGTGGGAAGCATGCTCGGCGACATGCGGGCCCCACGGAGAGAAGAAGCGAACCGTGCTGTGCATCCAGACCATGGGCTCTGACGAGCAGGCTCTCCCGCCCACAGACTGCCAGCACCTGCTGAAGCCCAAGACCCTCCTTTCCTGTAACAGAGACATCCTGTGCCCCTCGGACTGGACAGTGGGCAACTGGAGTGAGGTGAGCTGCGGGCTCAGAGGGGAAACTGGCATTATTTATGCTTCATCAGCTCCTGCCTTTCTTCTCATTGTCTAATCCAAAGTGACCCTAGGTAAAATTCCAAAATAGCCAGCATTCCTCCCCTCTGGCCTGTCTCCTGCATTTCCTGCTGTGTCCAGTGCTTATTTTCCATTCACACGGGATCTTGCTCTCACTTGCTCAGTGGTCAGCTTACTACCTGACAAGGGTAAGATAGACCCCCCCGCTCCGGTACAGGATCACGACCACTAATTAATAAATCGTCAGAAGTTTGGCTGGGCCTATTGTTAAACCATTGGTAGCAGATCAGGGACCTCCCACACACTTCGAAAGTAGTTTATAAAACATTGACCAGCACATCACTGTAGTTACCCCAAACCAAAGGAGCGTCACTTGACACTAAGAAAAATCCCCTCAAATTATCCATCTGTTCACCATATGTCAAGGCCAAACCAGACCAAGCTTTAAAACATCTATTATTAACCACGTATGTTCAAATAAATGTTGCATTTTCCCAAAATTAATTTGATCTAATTATCTGACTATAATTGGAAATCAGTCAGCTGGAAGGTTATGAAAAGCTCCCAGGCTTTAATTTTCTTTGGGTCACTGTGGAATCTGGTTTCATCAGGCCGTGCACTCCCAGTTATCAGTGGAAGGCCCCACGGTCTCCAAGGGCCTCAGCTCTGCTTCCCTCTGTGCAGTTCAGTAAACAGCCTAAGGAGTGACTAGAACATACCTGTTTGTTTTGTTTGGTTGGTTGGTTTTGTTTTAATTGCACTTCAGGTTCTGGGGTACATGTACAGAACATGCAGGATCGTTGCATAGGTACACACATGGCAATGTGGTTTGCTGCCTCCATCCCCCCGTCACCTATATCTGGCATTTCTCCCCATGTTATCCCTCCCCAACTCCCTACCCACCGCTGTCCCTCCCCTATTCCCCCAACACACCCCAGTGCATACCTGTTTTTTTAAAACTTAACAGGCCAGAGTTTAGAGATGGATGCTGACTTCATCTTTTGAGCTTCCTTGAGCAGCCATATGCTTCCCATAATAATGCTACCACTGGCCGTGCACCAGTAATCCCAGCACTTTAGGAGGCTGAAGCAGGAGGATCACTTGAGCTTAGGAGTTTGAGACCAGCCTAAGCAACATGACAAAACCCCATCTCTATGAAAAATACAAAAAATTAGCCAGGCGTAGTGGCTCATGCCTGTAGTCCCAGCTACTTGCGGGGGCTGAGGCAGGAGGATCACTTGAGCCTGGGAGATTGAGAAGTTGTAGTGAGCTGATATCATGCCACTGTACTCCAGCCTGGGAGAGAAAGTGAGACCCTGTCCCAAAATAATAATAAATAACAATGATGCCACCATTGCTCAGGATATTTTAGAAACTCCTGGGAGGACTCAGAGCAAATGGAGAATATGTGATTCAGGAGGATGCCACAGAAAGTCAATTAGAATGGAGCCTGCTGGATAAATGAGTAATGTGATCAAAATCTTTGTGTTTAAAAAATAGTATTTGATTATAAATATGTGAGAGATTGCTTTCCACCTTATAAAGGTGCTCTGAAATAAGAATTTTAAAATTTGTGTAAGCAAAGGTACCATCTCCGAAGACACCTATTTGAAAGCAAAACATTCATCTAAATACAGCAACTTTGATAAAACCTTATTTCCAAGACTCCTTTTTATAAGCTTATGCCACAGTTTCGGTTTAGTTATCTTCTGAATCTGTAGAGAATGTTCTCTTGGACATCTAGGTGAAATTTTAAAAGAAAAAAGCAATAGAAGGTATGGTCCCTAGATCGTAAGAACTTCCATCCAATGGGAGAGATAAGATCCAGAAAAGAAAAAGAAAAAGGAAAGAAAGCAAAGGAAGTACAAAGATAACACATGAAAGAACTAGACCTACATACAAACAGGGCGTATTACTGATTCATGCGCCCTTGTATGTACACACATCAGTGATGAGCCAAACATTCTTTTTCTATTCCTGGGAGTATAATCACAGCATTTGGCTGGCCTGCCTTATTAGTCCACTGCAATCTAGGTGTCTGTAAATTACAGTGTTGTCAAAATAAGGCTGAGTAGAGTATTGTTACTGGTTTATTAAATCTGTTTACCAAAAATGTCTTGGCCGCATCCCAAACTGTTAATAATCCTCGTCAAGTAGAATTTACTAATTACTAACATCTTAATGCTTTTTCAGAGGACTGCAATTACAGGTTTGGCTGTGTTCTTATTGTGTTCATGTTTATGGGACGCATAGTAACATGTCTTTTTAAAAATTTATTTTACTTTAAGTTCTGGGGTACACGTGCAGATCATGCAGGATTGTTACATAAGTATACACATGCCATGGTGGTTTGCTGCCTCCATCCCCCCTTCACCTACATTAGGTATTTCTCCTAATATTATCCCTCCCTAATCTTCCCATCCCCAGCTATCCCTCCCCTAACCCCCCATCCCCTCCCAGTAACAGATCTTAACTAGAGAACAAGAGACCAAAAAGTTGGCATGATGTAAGAAGCACTCGGGTCTGTGGTTCCATACACAGGCTGCTGCATAATCAATGGACCACACACGGACAGTTTCTAGCTTCCACTTGACAGAGCTGAGCAGAAAGGCTGAGCCAATGCCTTCATTCAGAAGATGTTATTAGAAGGGCTTTTAGTTAAATCGGTATCAAAATATTCATCAAATGGGTCTTCCTGTCTTCTCTCTGCTATCTTACTAATAACCTTCTAATGAACTTTGCTGTTATGATGAAATGTCTTTGACATTCTAATTATGCCCAGATACATTTTTAAAGAGAGGTGACATAGTGATTGTTGGTAGGCAATATTTATCATCTGTATTTTGTCTGGAGACCAACATCATTTGAAGCAGATAGTGCTCCAGCCATCATTTGCTCTGCACTGTGTCATTTGGTCCATGCTGCATGATCTGGGACTGTAAGATTATTGGTCCAAAAGGCCCCAAAACTGACAGCCTCTAGAATCCTATAAAACGACTTTCCCTGGGCTGACCTAAGTGAGAAGAAAAAAGAGGTATATTCATGAGTTCCCTTCCCTATCAAAGCACTCCACCAACTCAAGCAGGGAGGGGAGAGTGATCTCAGCTGTGCCAGGTTGGTATACTGATCCCTGTCCCAGCAGGGATCAGAAAGGGAGCTCTCTCTCCCCTGCTGCCCCAAGCAGGACTTTTCTGCCCCCTGTGACCAGCCTCTTTTCTCTAAGCTCATGTTCTAGAGGATACCTGACTTTCACCTCCAATCTCAGGTTTTTCAAAAACAAAAACAAAAAATAATCTTATCCTAGTTTTGCCCACCCTACTTTGTGGGCTTAGAGGTAAAGAAGGGAATTGTAGTTATTGTAAATAGAGACCAGGTATCAAAGTTATTGTGGCTCCCTTAACTTCCTAGATACATCATTTCAGGGACATACCTTGTCTCTTGTGAGAGGCAGCCAGTCTAGTAGTGAAGGGCACAGCCCCTAGAGCATGGCTTCCTGGGTTCAAATGCCTAAGTGTGACAAACAGCACACTCCAGAAGCCAGGATGTGTGTGTTTGTTTATACAGTTTCTCTTTCCAAAGGCATTTCAGGCAGTTTGCAGTAAAAGGGCTCTAGACATTGAAGTGATGAACTAGAAGTTGTGGTCATGCCTGGGAGCAGAGAGCAAACGTGAATAATAGTGTTATTTTGATGAAGCTTTCAGTTTAACCCAGTGCATCCAGACAACCAGGCAATAAGGGCAGCCCAGTGGGTCCCATAATTCTTTCTATCTGATAGATGGAAGGTTACCTCTTCTTCAGGAGACACCTTTGCTACTCCCAAGGAAAACTTTAAAACAAATTGCCAAAATTATATGAGATTTTTAATAATGGTTCCACTCCAGAGATATAACTAGAGCATGTTTAGGCAGATACTTTGTAAAAATATGTGCCATCTTTTTCCTTGGATGGATGGATGGATGGATGGATGGATACATGGATAACCACCATATACTTAACAGATGTTTGATTTGTGCATCCTTGGCAGAAAGGGAAGTGGGACGAGCCCTGGCTGAGATCACAGAGAACAGTCTTGGTTCTGATCTTGTACTGCATAAACTTGTATTGCACATTTTACAGTCTTAGGAAAATGATTTTTCCTTATAGGACCTCCGTTTCCTCAACTATAAATCAACATGTTGTTTCTCCTAGTAACTAGATTAATAGTAATGATGAGTAGTAATTTTTCTAGGTTTTCCATCCCTGGCATTCTCTAATTGTGTGGCCTTGAGCCAGTGTTAATTCTCTCTTAGCCTGTTGTCATTTAGAAAGATAGCATTATTGTAAGAATTCAGTAAGATAATTCATGCAAACACTTAGCATAGTGCCTGGTAAATATCAAGTGTTCACTAACTTATTATCAGACAAGAAGACAAGGGTCTACTTTCCATGCTACTCTGATTTTGCAAACCTTGCTCAATCAGTTGTACCCAAATGTGCTGAAGGAATTGATCTGTGGCCGCCTAAGCTTTCACCTATCCCCTCCCTGAGCTCAAGGAGCTCATTCATTTTATGCTTGAAACACTGTAATCGAAGTGCTTAGGGCCTACAGATTTTTCAAGGGCCTGCACAACTATTTGAGACCTGAAAAACAACTCATGCATCACTTCTATAAAAACAAAAGGACTTTGCAAAATCAGGAATCAGTATTTAATTGCATGTTAATAGCAAATACATACCAAGAATTTAGTATGTATTATTACTATGTATTATGTATGTATCTATTAAATACTTCTATGGGTATTAGCACATTTAATCTATTTTTTACTATTATACTTTAAGTTTTGGGGTACATGTGTAGAACATGCAGGTTTGTTACATAGGTATACACATGCCACGGTGGTTTGCTGCATCTATCACCCTGTCATCTACATTAGGTATTTCTCCTAATGCCATCTCTCCCCTGTCCCCCAACCCCCTGCTATC